CTCTTGCTTCAAGAATGATGGCATTGAAACATTCACATATGTTATTAAGCAACATAATCACACTTCAAGATGCATGAAAAATGTGATCACGACCATTCTCATGGGTGCTTCTTAGTCAATCATTTGTATGCATTTATATCCAGTTTCGCCAACTCCATGTTACAGGAAAATTGATTAACTATAGTATTACTAGCAGCTACCAATAAAGTATTTTTAGTGCAATACCTTTGAACCCCGCAAATTTAAAATTTTGGTGTAGATGACGAACACAAAACCCATTTGTAACATTTGGCAATATATTTTCAAATGCAGGAACTAAACCTTTTTGTTTATCCAATATGAATGAATTTCATCTGATTTTCGACAATGTGTAAATCTCCTGCCAACAATTCTAGGAACCATTCCCATTTCCCAACTACTTTTTGATCATTTTTTACAACTGCACATGTTATTGGAAAAATGTTATTGTTCCCATCCAAACTAATAGTTGGTAGTAGCTGACCTCCGTTACTATCCCACCGAACACCTACCCCTTTCTTTCTCCTCCATCTCATTTTGATTTGACAATTTAGATGCTTGATACAATTCATATTATCTCCTTTCTTTTGATGCCTCATAAACCATACTACAAAATTTAGGATTTGATTCAATCCAATAACACATTTAATATCATTTGCACCTATGTGAGAACAATGTATGGATTAACATGCTCTAGATTGATGAAGTTAGAGTAATGCTATTGTCTAGGATTTTCAAGGACCTTGTTCTTCACTTTAATAAGTTTAATAAGCCAAAGTGATATAATTTTCATGAAGAAATTAAAATTCATTTCTAATTATGCCTTATTGCATGTAATTTTCATTTGGATGGTCTGAGTGTGGTTCTCGTTATCAACATGATTAAGGCACAGGAGAAACTTTCATGATGATGCTAATAGCAAAATTTTCTAAACCCATTCAAATAGTTAAGCAAATAAATACATGCAACGCAAATAATATAGCCATGAACGAATAATTCCTAACATTAATCCCGAAATCCACAAGGAGATGGAGGCACAATAAATGCTAGGTTTGCGGGCTTCTTCTGTTAATTTCAACACAAATTTAACAGAGGGATGTTCTTACTAGATATTTGCAAGAGGATGTACCCTGGTGTATGCTTTTTGTTGATGATATTCTTGTAATCTTGTTGTTGATAAAACTAAAAAGAGAGTTGAAGGTAAACTTGAATTATGAAGGTCAACCTTAGAGTTTAAAAGTTTTCATTTGAGTAGATCTAAAATCAAATACATGGCGTATAATTTTAGTAGTAATAGATCTAATGGGGGGATTGTGACTTTGGGCGATCAAGTCATTAATAAGAGTACATGCTTTAGATATCTTAGGTTTTTTATTCAGAGTGATGGTGAAATAGATGAGGTATTATTAGTAGAATTCAAATTGGATGGTTGAAGTGGATGAATGCATCAGACATGTTGAGTGATAGAAAAGTACCCCTCAAACTTAAGGGAAAATTCTATAAGATGGTGGTGAGACATGCAATATTTTATAGCGCAAAATGTTGGCCATTAAAAGAAAAGCATACAATTAAGTTAAGTGTTGCAGAGATGAGGTTTGGATTAGCACTAGTGGCAAATGAGATTAGAGAGAGTTGCCTTATATGATTTGGTCACATAAAACGTCAGTCTTCTGATGACCTGGCTAGGATAATAGATGCATTAGATTTGGCCTATGTTAAGGAAGAGGTAGACCTAAAAAGACTTGGTTAGAAAAATATTAGAAATTATCATTTTTTTATTAAATTTAAATGAGAATTTGATTCTAAACATGACACAATAGAGAAAAATAATTGATGTACCGACTCCATATAGTGGGACAAAGGCTTGATGTTGTTGTTGTTGTTGAATTTACAACAAAATCTACCATATACTTAAATTTAAACAAAAAATTAGGAATAGTCCAAATCTAAATCTAAACTGAATTTGAGCATGAGATGGTTTAAAAGCTAAATCTATCTATGATTTTAAGATTGGGAAACTATTACATATTGAAATTGATAAACCAATTGAATTATCTACTAATGTGACTCGAAATGAGTTATTTAATGATTTTTTTTCTACAATTATAAATCAAATTAATATTGATTTCTTTTTTATTATTAGTTTAATAATTTGCAAATCATAAAATAAATCTTATTAAGAAATTAAATCCCAATATTTTAAAATATTTATTAATGAAAATATGAAAATTAAAATTCCATTTATTTCATTGAATCTAAAGAAGCATAATTCACACAATCATTTTTTAAATCAATTGAGTTATTTTCTTTTAATAAGATTGTTCGTCCATATAATCTCACTTAAATCAAACATATTTTTTTTATTTGTCTAACATAAGAAGAAATTATGGAAACAAATAAATATAAATTTTAGGTTTTTCTTCATATGCACCTTTTGAAATAAGTTACGACAATCTATTAGAAAGAATATAAGAAATTTAACATCTTATAGTAATAATATCCATAATTTTCTTGAAAGTATTCTGAAGAAACTTCTTGTTAGCTATGACAATTATCCTTATTCTAGATATGAAAATATGATATGCGGAGCTGAAATATGGTGATAGAGTAATTATCCATACAAAATATAGAAACTTTTCTACATGAACCACTAAGAAATTAATTGCTAGAAAAGAAAAAAAAAGACTAATAAAATCATAAAATGCATTGGGATGAATGCTTGCAAGTTAAAAATCCAAAAAAATTGTGGTATTAGTCTACTTTTTAATATATGTGTTTTAACTTTATATCATGAAGCATTAACCAAGGCCTTGAATTCTTCTCTCTTTTCCTCCTTTAGGATCACATCTAACACAAAATTTGCACAATACCCAAACATTTATGATAATCTCATTCCTAAAGTTATTAATTATGATGAAATCACATCCGCTACTTATGATGAATACAAAAAATACCTTATAATATGAAAAGATAGGTATATAAGTGATATTCATAGATTGCTTTATTTGTATATTTGATAAATATCAGCTAAATAATTCATCATAGCTAAATTTCTCCAAGTCAAATAGCATTGATGTGTATTCTCCTCCATTGCTCTATGGCATCTAGGTTCTCTTTGTGGTTCGTTATTGCTACATAGCCTTCAGTTATATAGGCTTCCTCTTCTAATGATTGGGTTGCAGTTTTTTCATCGACTATGTTTTGGCGACAATTGGGTGTCCTTCAACAGCTTTTGTGGCACCTGCCTACAATAATTTCAAATTGATTGGCATTCTCTTGTAGGTTCTATGATCCCTTTTGTAACCTTCTTTATTCTTTTCTAGCAATGGAGTTTTGGATTGTTGTTCATACAATTATTGGGAGAAACCCATCTCAAACAAAAGTTTGACGGTCATCTTTGCTTATTGTGGCAATTTTTCTGTTATTCTATTTGAGTTTTAGCTTCACCATCTATAAGCTTTGGTGATATTCATGCTACTGTTATTGAAATCTGGTGGGATGTCTTCTTTTACTTCCAAACTCTCGCAACTTTGGCGATCAATTCATCTTCAGTTTTTTTTTTTTTTCTATGGTGACCAACGGAAAAGAAATTTCAAAGCACTTTGTGATTATAAATAAAATCTTGATGAATTTAGAAAATGATAAACTGGCATTTGAAAAAAATTTCTAATGGGATGTGTTATTTCTTCAACTTTAAAGATTTAATTCCATGATAAAGTAAGAGACTTGAAGATTTCCAGGAGATATTAAGGCATTATACAAGCAAGAGGCTTACTTTAATTTTTTTAGTGAATTATTTCTTACTACTTCCTTGTTCAAAATTTTGTTATTAGATTGATCATGTGGTTGGTTTTACTTAAATTTGATTCACCTTAGTTTTCAACGTGTTTGTGAATTTCAATTAGTTGCTGAAATTTCTTAGCTATGATTTTCTATTATTTTTCTTGTAAAATCCCATTAAATTTTAGTTTAAATTGAACTTTTTTCATCAATAGTGGAAAATAATTGCCAAAAATTCAATTAAGAGTTCGCTATTTGTGCTTAGTGCATAATTTTCTGCATCTCATATTAGATTTGACTTCTCAAATTTTCCTTAGGAATTACTTTATCCTTTCTTCAATTCAACCTCTAAAGAGGTATTGGATCCTTGGGAATCACTTTCGGAGAGAAAAACCCATGCAATAAGCCTCAAGATGCATGCATCGAAGAGAAATCTCATAATAAAATAGAGGGATTTATAAGAATAGCATATCATGGCAAGAGAGAGAGTCTTGGGAAGGAAAGGGAGAGAAGGGGAGTAATCAGAAGCTCAATTTCCACTGAGACAAGGAGTTCTTGTAAGTTGAAGTGCAGGATAATCCAAATATAATTATTATCGTCCCTGCTTATAGAAATAGAATTACATATAAAATAAACACATTTAAAAAATAAACCTATGATAAGTACTAAAAATGCGATCATTTAATTTAGAAAGAGGACGATTCTAAAAATTAAGTACATTAAAGCTAAAGAGAATCCTAGAAATAATCTAAAAAATACCATAATAATCTTGAAAATAATAGAATAACTTTCATAAATGCCTACTACTGCATCAACTTCTACATCCAGCTCTAGCATCAAGCTTATTTTGTTTATCTATGATCATATTTTCGAAGGATTGCCAATCCGTTTATGTTGTTTTGCTAGAGAACCAATTTATGTGCTTATTATTAAATTGATAAAACAATGCCCTTAACTTGTGCATAGAAAGTTACCAATATATCAAATATATTAGAAGCTTATCGGGCACTAAAAAAAGGTTTTTTGGTTTGTTTGACCAAAAGCAAGACAAAGAGGCATCCTTTTGTAAATGTGAAATTTTTAATAGACAGCAAAACACATTAGAAATTATACAAACTAAATCCTGCACAAGCTATGCATCATGTGTTGGATAACAATTACAAATAAAAAACAGTGATCTAAAATAAAACTTAAATCAAAACCTGTATTGCTCCGGATCCTCCCTAAGGGCTTCAATATAGGCTCTGAAAATAGCATCTCGATCCTCGCCGCTAGGATACCCTTCCATCAGTTGTTCAAAGACTGTGACAAAGCCAAGCGCAAAGACAGCATCATATTGATAGTTTCTCTTGTACCTCAATAAATGTTGTTGCACAAGAAGCTCTTGCAATACATTATTGTATATGCTGGGGATAGGTCGCTTGTATGACTTCAGGAAGTTGTATTTTGTTTCAGCAACAGTAGGAGGAACACCTGTGATAAAGCAAGTTTAAAACCTGTATAAGCTGAAATAAGGAGAATAAAAAACAAGTGCAAAAAATACATGTAGAAAAAAATCCAGTGATGCATTGTAAAGGCAATGTCACAAAACAACCACTGCATACTTTTAGTTCAATTCTCCCATGAAGCTGAAAACTTGGCAGAGAAAGGCCCAAGATGTACACAAAATGTGTTAAATACGATAAAAATCGGCAAGATCGGGCCTCCTTAAAAGTTACAGTCTGCAATTCGTGACAATAATGGGCTTTTCTAGCTGCAGTTATACTGAAGTATGGAATTCCTTCTATCTAAAGGCATTACCGATGTTTGGTTGGCTAAAAAGATTGTGATTTGAATTGATTACATGCAAAACAACTTTCCTATGTATAGTTCGTTGTACAGTTGGTGTCAGGTGGACTTCTTTGCATTAACTCATTGCTCATTCTCTTCAAAAATCTTTGCAAGGTAAAGATGGCCAACTTCCAGGAATTTACCTATACTACAATGAGTTTGCTGTCAACAAAACAGTCTTCTAATAAAAGATGAATTATTCAAAAGCAATTGTTGTTTGTTTTAACGGTGCTAAAAGTCCATTTTCAGTAATTCATTATCCTACCTTAAAAACAACTGCTCAGAAGAACATACAACTTGATTAAGAATGAAAATATCACCTCGTACCACCATCAAGTATATCACAGACATCCTATCATGAGAGTATAAGATATTATTGTTGTTTTTAAGGGTACTTAAATTCATTATGAGCTGAAATTTTAGTCAACTGTGGTGAAATATAGATGGGTTGTGCGGTGTCTTTAGTTTTCTAGCTTACAGTGGCCTAATTGGGCCATCTTCAAATCATGTTCTCTTGTATTAAGGCCACAAAAAACATCCTCCAAAGCAGCGCATAAGATTCTGACATTATGTTAGGAGGTCAAGTTTCATCTTTCCATTTAGGAAAAGTTTAAATGAAATATAGGTATCATGAAAGCAACGTGAGCACATTTAGGCTTCGTTTGGGACAGTTTTCTTACTGCTTCTTAAAGCAGCTTCTCATTACATAAATTTTAATTTTTTACAAAAAAAATGCTTTAAGAAGCAATAAAAAAGTCATCCCAAATGAAGCCTTAATGTAGGTGAGAAAAGTAATAAAAGTATCTGATGCTCTTCTTGTTTCTAAAAATTTTATGAGCACGATCATGATTTTTGAAGTTGTAATAAGCAATATGCTTGTTCCAAATAACCATCTAAGATTACAAATAAAAGTTGAACAAGAACAGTAAGTTCAATAATTGAATATCAGTATAAGAGACTCAAGCCATATGCCAATAGAATAGCATGCTGGTGTACGTCCAGATCACTTCCACCTAGATGGATGGTACTGAGATTTAGTCAATGAGAAGGTGACGCAATATGTGATCCTCCTATACCTAGTTCAATCGGATCCATGTGGTATGGCCTATAGAGAGGTATGGTAGAAGGAAGAAAGATTGGTCCAAACTAAGCTAGTTTAGTCTGATTTGAAAAATCTCTTTTGGGAATGCGTTTTAAGTGATATAAATATAGGGAAATGATGGTAGAGGATTGGGTTAAGACGTAAACTTATGATTTGGACTAATTGGTGAAATTTAGAGGGGTTTAAGACCTTATCGAAGTGTGGAGAACAAGACCAAGTGGTTTTCAACCTAGGCTTGACCAAGAGCCTAAAGGTGGGATTTAGCGTGTGGTTTTGTGGGCTTAAAAGGTGGATAGCTAGTCTTCAGAAAAGGTTAGTTGTTGAGAAAGATGTGAAGAAGATTTAGAGTAGATATTGAGAAAAGTAGCAAATAAGATTAAAGAGCACAAAAATAAATATCATTATCACCAAAAACTGGCAAAAATTAGGCTATAAAGCACCAGGCAAAGAGAGAGTTTCTCCAAAGTAATTTTACTAAACAAAAGCTAAATATTTTCCATTTCATAACAGCCATATTCATAGCCATTTTACATGAATCTTTGACAACCCATTACAACTCATGTTGGAGCGAAAAAATAGAAAGAGAAGGACATTAATGAAGGTGGAATTCTAATCACTAGTTTTTGTAATGCTTCCTCCAATCCAAAACATGTTATGGCCAATCAAATATGCTCCTATGTGGAAAAATAAAACTGTAAAATAAAAATAATACAAATTACATTTGAAATATTCTAAATTTTGGGTTATTTATTGGGGTCTTTTAGTTAAGGTTTTTTTTTTTTTTCCTTTTAATTGGTCTTTAGCCTTGGTTCTTAAAATTAGGCTTCAAGTTTAATTTTCTTGGTCTAGATGATATGCTATATCAAAAAGCCTAGTCAATCCTTTATTTCAACTCCTAAGGAGTTTATTGATTCTAATGGAAAATCCATGATTTGAGCTGCTAGCTCTAAGCATAGCAACCTCATATGTTTTACATATTGCAAGATTGGTAATTACAGGAACAGTTATCCCTGTAAGAAACTCCATAAACACCGATGAGTGGCATTAATGATCAACATGGAGAGCTAGAGGTCGAGCCCCATAAAATATAACTTGTGTAATGAATCTAGTGATGTCAAAGATGCACAAGATAATGCACATTTAACAATTAAGTGTTACATGTTGACAATCTCATAAGTTGCCATTGATAGAGAGGCGCTGCTTGTTTTCACACTTACTTCAAGTGTGGAGATAAGTTGAATGAAGGGTGTAAAACCTTGAGACCTTGAAACTAGATATTAAACCCTATATTTAGGTCAAGTTATGAAAATACCCATCACTGTTAAAATAATCATAAATTCTTCTTCATCCTAAAAATACTAGAACTTGAGGAAGTACAGCCCCACAAGAAGAGAAAAGGTAATCTCATTTTTCCTCCAGTGATTCAAAATATAGTTATTATATCGCAATCAACTTTAAAATATTCACAAAATATTTATCGGGCATCGAAAAATTAAATAAAATGATCTAAGACCTCTATGGACACACATCAAGGATAATAGGACACAACATGGTCTAAACTACATCAAGGGAGTTGGACGTTTTCAAATTTAACACTATAATAATAGTTTCATTAATGTAATGAATAGCCTACAAATAAAATTTATTTATGAAATTAAAGGCTAGCTCACTTTTAAGGCTTGTTATTGGATCTCTTATACCTCTTCCTTTTACTTAGTCAATTGAGTGTTCACGTCCTACTACTATCAGAAGAGAAGCTCTTGGTCTGATAATCTTTCCAATGCCATTACGAAGCAGTCTTCTAAGGCCTCCATGCAATTTTGCATTTCCAATTGTTTCACCCAGTAGATCTCAGAAGGCCCAACAATATATTCCAGATGTATTCAACTTCACTTGATCTTGTCTTAGTTAAGTGATGGGGTTCTCTTAATGGAAATCTACCTCCCTGCTCTCCTCCTTTGAGGAAGGAATTGATGGCTCAGAGGAAGGAACCTCAACCCTTTATGCTGCAACATCATCAAAAGGTGAAATATGTCCAGTCTCTTCAAAATCCATCTTTCCCTGGGCAATGACAAGTTCAATGCCAAGAATAGCTCCTTTCATTAATACCCACTGAGCCACTTACTCGGTGGCAGACTCGTCATCAATCAACACAATCTCTTTCCTGATTTTGCCATATATAAAAGAGACCTTCACGCTCAACTCTCCATCTTTGATGGCAAAAGCCCCACAACCATCATTGCATATGGGCTCCTCAACCACAAACAAAGCAACCTTATGAAGCAAAAGATCTAATATATCAAACCCTGCTAAGTTCACCTAAAAGAAACACAATAGCGTTCAGCCTGCCAAGTACACACCCTTCTCTCTCTCTCTCCTACCTTTAGTGGTCTCTCTTCCTATATTTCTCTCGCTTTCCATGTTTTTGATAATTCAAAGCACTAAAATCTTTCTTGACCCGATTCTTGATCTGAGAGGATCTCGGTCGGTTCTAAGACTGTGATCCACGAGCCAAATTTGAGTCAAAAAGCTAGAATCTTAATTCAAATCAGCTTGAGAAAGAGAGACTTATTTGACTATTATAATGACTAAAAGCAATCGACATTATGTCATTCTCAAAGTGACCTAAATATGGTAATTTTGTAGTGCAACAAAGAACTAAATTTATTTGCGATAACACAATTAGCATCAACCACTTCTCATTGGAGAGACAGCAAATAAGAAATAAAAAAAAAAATTGCATTATTTCTTCTTCATAAGATAAATCAAACAGTCCACCGATAAGACAAACATGATCGCGGCAGCAAGAATGAAGAGGCGACTATAAAAGTAAAAGATCTAACCGGACGGAGCCGCAGCGCTGAAAACAATCGCTTGGGAACTCGAAATAGAAGTTGTGAACCTAAACCCTCTGAATCGAGGAGACACCGAGAAGCGAGTCGAGAAGAGACCCGGTTTCATCCAAGAAACTTGCCCCAAAGCAGGGAAGGAGACAGAAGGGATGGCCGCCATTAGTGTTACGGTTTCTCTCAAACCTCAGAAGGAGAGTGAAGTTTCAAAAAAAAAAAAAAAGTTTTTAGGTCTCGATAATTCTCGCCGCCGACAAGAAATGCCGCAGAAATTGCATTTCGCAGGGGAGGTAAAAAGTGGGGAGAGCAGAATCAGAGAGAGGCCACAAAGAAGGGTCTTATCCCGTATTTCGGAAAAAGGAAATATCCGTTCTCAGGAAAGTGATGGAGACCATTAAGGATCCGACACCTGGAATTTGAAGCGACCGCCATTGGTCCAAATCGCGGCTTTGGATGAATTTGTATCTTTAATTACACTACATATAAACGTTTGAATCAAAGAAATCAAAAAATAAGAAACCTTCTGTAACAAAATGGAGAACAAGCAATACCCAACAACCAGACAACAGATTCAAGCGTCATAGTAACGTCCAGATACAAAAGACCAGTAGCTTGCACGCCGAAACAGAAGTGCTTTGAAGACCAATTCTAATAAAGGCAAACTAGAATAAGGTCATCTCAAGTCTTTGCAATTGCCGCAATAATGATTTTTTTCTCTGTGAACATTGCGACGTCGATATTGAGATCGTACTATTCACAGAAATGCATAAAGACATTTTTTAGAATAGAAATAGATATGAGAAATATACAAAGAATATTTTTTTGTGATATAAATGAAGTTCGATTAGAGATGAATTACTGTTTGATATGAATGTTATTGTATTTTGAAGCGAAAAATGAGTTTTTAGGCTGGAGATGCCCTTACAGATGCGATAGGGAAGCAAGATTAACTTTAGAAAGCCATGACGTATGGAGAATAACTAGCTAATTATGCTTGAATTAATTTCGTATTGATTGAAAATAAATTTAAAATTTTAGATTCGAATGCTCACTCTGCCCAAAAATAAATAAATAACTAAAAGAAGAGTCATCCAACATTTAAATCAAATCACAAATACCATTTAGGACGAATGTTATTCCATTTTTATCTATTAAATATTTTTGGAGGATTTGAAATTTAATTTATGAATATCTTTATCAATTTTAGATCAAATGTTAGAAATCAATCAGTCCAAAGTGAAATTAATAACTTACATCAATGACATCTTTAGAAGGAAAAAAATGTCCACTAGAAAGGGAAGTTATATACAAAAGTCTCTCTATGGATTGAAACAAGCTCTATGTCAATGGTTCCAAACATTTTCAGTTCATCTCTTCTCCCTCGGCTTTCAAAATAGCCTAGCCGACCCCTCTCTCTTTACACTCCACCAAAACTCAAATCAAGCTTTTCTTCTTATCTATGTGGACAACATTCTTCTAACAGGTAACTGTTAGCACACCTTACATCATCCCGCAGGCACAACTTACCGATCACGATCTCCTGCAGCAGCTCTGGCGACACGATCGTTTGCGACGCCTGCACATTCGGCCTGCAGCTAACGGTGGCCTGACATCGCAACTACCTGTCTGCCTTAAGGCTCTATAAAAGCAAATGTATCAGCTCCATTTGAATCAATGAAAATCAAAAGCTTTCATTCTCTGTATTATCTTCTTCCTTTGCCTTTCTCTGTTCTCAGCTTCACTCTCTGTTAAAGCTTCTTTATGGTATCAGAGCCTTAACACTGGGACTACACCCCCATCCAGCCAGCAATGACAGATCCAAACTCAGCCACCCAATCTAGGACGACATCCACATTATCGTCCTCCATGGCCAACACCGTCATACCTCCCGCCCTCAAATTTTTAATGTCTAACCTCAAGCTCATTGTTCACACATAGCTTACAACAGACAACTACGCCATTTGGAGACTTCAAATCCATCAGACCTTCACTGCCAACGGCTTTGAAGGATACATTGCCGGCACGATCACCTGCCCTCCCAAATCCACAGACGAAGACCACAAACTCTGGAAGCTGATTGACCAAAACCTCATCTCAGCTTTGTTTTCAACTATTTCATCATCTGTACTCCCCTACATACTACATCTCAAAACCTCATGTAAGATCTGGAAAGTGCTTGAGTCGCGACTACAGCCCACAAACTGCTCCCGCGTCATTCAATTAAAGAATGAGCTTCATAACGTCCAAATGAGGGATCAGACGATTACTCAATACCTGGGCAAGGTAAAGTCTCTTGTTGACAATATTGCAGCAGCTGGAGGATATGTCGACACTGAAGACATCATCCTGTACACACTCAAAGGCCTACCGACGTCCTTCAACCCCTTCAAAGCCGCCATTAGAATCTCACCTCTACCAGTCACACTCGAATTACTGTACTCACTGCTCTGCAGTGAAGAAATCAATCTGCAAACCGAGATACAGCAGGAAACTACCGTCACTTCCGAGCAACAGGCTCTATACACTACACGAGGACGAGGCCGCACCTCAAACTATAGAGGGAGTCGTGGTAGGGGAGCCCCATTCAACCCGTCTACAACACCACATAAGCAACTCACCAACTCATCACGGCCTGTAGACAGACCCACTTGCCAGATCTGTGGTAAACCCGGGCATCTTGCCTCAGCTTGCTGGCATCAGTATAACTCCAATTATACCCAACCAGCACCTCCAAACATAGCCCTTCTCAGCCAGTCACAACTCACAACCACCACCGATTGGGTACTCGACACCGGTGCATCTACTCATCTTACATCCGATCTCACCAACTTTCAGCATTCTACTCCATATCAGGGAACGAATTCTGTCTCAACAACAAGTGGTACTTCTCTTCCCATCCATCACACTGGTGCCGATTTACTTCCCCTTCCAGATTCCTCCCGTAAGCTAAAACTACGAAACCTGCTTCACGTTCCTTCTCTTTCTCGCAACCTCTTATCTATCTCTAAATTAACACAAGACAATAATTGCTCAATATCATTCGATTCTCACGGTTTTATTCTCAAGGATATGCAGGACAACAAAGTTCTGCTTCATGGACACCACCGTGACGGCATCTACCCAATCTGTCTCCCTCGCCCTGCCTCAATTCAAGCTCTCCATACAACCAAAGACTTCACCTCTCTCTGACATGCTTGTTTGGGTCATCCTCACTGTTGACCTCCGTATAATTTCCATATTCAATACAAGCAAAAGAGATAATGATCGATTATTGTTGGGAAACAATACATTGCTCAAAACGAAGATCGGAGTGCCTCGATCATAATGAAATGATTAAAGCTTTGTCCGATTACAAAATGGATCATATCGATGCATTCAGGACATCAAATTTATCAAATATAAGTTGTTCGTATGCGACTCGATGGAACGATAATATGCTAGTGGACGCGACGTTACCAAAATAATATCCAAATGTCCTCCACTTGTTCAACAAGCCTTGTCGATGAATTTGGAGCATCGAATTTAACCAAAAAAGAGATCCCGCGTAATTAAATTGAACGAAAGCGATCGAAATTGATGGACTACGGACATATTCGATGTTGCCCAAACGTCGTCCGTTTGCAAAATGAATTTCTTCGTTATGTTCGAAACGTTAAAAATACTCAAAATTGACAATAATATTGCCTAAATCTTTGCACGGGAAAAATAATAAAATTCGGTGTGCGAAAATATAAAATTTGGCTTGAGTTGCTAGGCGACGACACACAAATTGGAATAAAAAAAATTGTCGGCACAAGGGCATGATAAAAAAATCAATATTAATAAATAACAAATTTGTGTTTAAATATGTTGTGTAAGTAGAGTAAATTTGATAATAACATATATTGTTATTAAATTTAATGTGATATTAAAATAAATAAATAAAATCATTATCTGTTATTATAAATTTGAATTTATTTATATTCCTACATAGTTTTATAAAGAGGTTGGCAATTCACTCTATTATCTCAACAAAGGTGTAACTCACTCCACTCAATTCATCTCATAATATCATTCTCTGATACAAAACTTATCTATTTCACTACCCAAGTCTACGTGCCTTCCTTTAAAGGTTTTATCACTTCAACAGTTCTACGTGCCTCATTTTACAATGTTTGCTGACTCTAAGAATGCTAGGTGTGCCTTTGCATGAAACTCCACCGCATGTACATATACTTAATATAATAAAGTCTTAATCTTTATCTCAACTCTCACGCCACTCTATCCTTCTGTTCTCATACCCGAGTCTCCCATTCCTCCTCCTTACCGTGAAACCTTCTATCCCATATCCCATCTCCATCTATACTCAACTATACTATTTCTAACTAACCCCATATAACTCCTCATATCCACTCTATCTCCTGTACTCAACTCCACGGTTTTCTCCATTCAAACCTCACCAAACAGGCAAACAGTAACTATTTCTCTTTCTACTTTTTGTTTTCCTCTTTCTATGTAAGTATATAAATATATTTCTATAAAAAACACCACCCTGCCAAAATTTTGACGATCATAAGCCTGAATAAAATATTTTGATATTTCTTAAGCTCAAACAAAATAAATTTGAGATATTTCTTTGACTCAAATTACATAATTTTTGAAATATTTATTGAGCCCAAATTAAATAATTTGAGAGATTTGTTGAACTCAAATGAAATAATTTTGAAATATATATATTTTTTTAGCTCAAATAAAATAATTTTGGGATATATTTTGAACTCAAACTAAATAATTGTTTTTAAAGAAAAGAATATTTGAGCTTGTAATTCCAAGAAGATTAATGAGATTGCTCATGATATGGCTTTAAATCAGTTAGCAAAAATAATTATCAAAGATAATTGCAATTATAGCCAAGAGAATGATGCATTTATTATCTTCCTAACTATCTTATGTTGATGCTAACGATGAACAAAAAAAAAATAGAGACGTGGAAAAGTCCCTTGAAATCAAATGAGCAGGAAAGTGATGCATACAAAGAGTTTAAAAATATCTTAAATGATATTATTGTTCAAGTAATGTTTAGAAATAAAAAATGAAGGGACAAAAGAATTTGATCATAATATTTGGATTTGTGTTTCCAGCAACTTCGATCTAAATAAAAAAAAAAATCTGATTGTTGGAGTATTGAAGTTAATATTAAGTTGAATTCAATCATTAAAAAAGGATCATTTATTAAAAGAATAAATTTGAATGGATCCCAATTACACAAATCATTTCTAATGCTTTGAAGCAAATGATTCTTAAGGCCTTTGCTTTATCTGTACTCAACATTAGGGAGGATTTTGGATT